TATAAATCATTATTTATTTACTTGTTCAATATATTTGATCAGGTTTATTCCAATCACAATAGAGATAGTCTCCCGTTGGGTTCTGTGTACAGACAAATTACATATAGCACTACAATAAACGATATAAAATAGAAGACGTTGAAATAGTATGTTGGGGACCGTATAATTGCCGTTTTAAATACACGTTAGATTGTGACATAGCGATAGCCTGAACACGTAGCATTTACGTTTTTTCCGGACACCACATTGGGTTTTTAGTGTGAAACTCTTGTAACCGTAAGCAAAAAAGATTTTGCCGACACACCAACCCTTGCGCGTAAACGCTTGTAACGTAGCTGCCGTTTCTAATGCCCCAGGTGAGGCATGTTGTGGCAAAATGGTTAAGTTGTTGCACAGTCCAGTTTTGAGTAAATAAGCTATAAAACATGGGAGCTCAAAAAATTGCCTAAAAATCCAAATTTGTTTTTCACTATAGATCAACAGTTTAATGTCTTATTAATCATGTCCCAAAGTATTAGTTCTGGAAGTGGTTAACAATTTGTTTATTTAACGTTATTTTTTATAGTTCATTCTATTAAACAATGTATGTACAAATAACTTTGAAAGGCAATTACTCAAAATCATGTTCATCTTGAGTCTAAGAGTACTGTACTTTCACTTTCCAATAACTTAGGCTTGAAATGTCCAATTTGAATGAATGACCTCTCATTTTAAAGATAACATACTCAGGTATCTGAAAATACCAATAACTTGAATTTCAATTTTTGCTACAACTTAGCCATTTTACCACAACATGCCTCAGGTTGGCTGTAGACACTGTAGTCTCACTTGTAAGTTGTGAAAATAAATCCGGTTTGAGAAATGATGGGATGAGACATCAAGGGCGGATCCAGAGATGTCCAAAATGGGGGGTGGGGGCGAAAGTTTGGCCGATCGAGACAACACCGTCCTAGGGGGGTCCCCGGCGAAATATTTGTGTTCTAGACGCCGGAAAATAACATTTGAGGCGTTCTGGGCTATCATTTTTTTCTTTTTTACCTTCCGAAAGGGGACGAGCCGGCTCCCCTATCCCTAAATCCGACCCTGCACATAAGCTAAATATAGAAATAAACAGTTTTCCGAAATAACACTATGAAATAATGAGTTCTGTCCTAGAAAGAAGTGAAAAGTCAACAATCTGTTACTTGTAGACAAATTAAAGTGAATTTCCAACACAGAAAGCGTGGATGGGTTATATTTTTTAAAATAGCCACAATGAAAGCAGTAGCAGTAGACATACATGTACTCCCGCTGGGAGTACACTTTTAATATTGTTAACAGGCCTACAGCCCACCAGAGAGGGTGTAATCCAGAGGCACCCTATGTGTCAACACTAGTGCTAGAAACGTGACGTCAGTGCCACGCCAGCTCAATCATGGAGTTTGCACCTATTCACTTGCATTGAAGAGTACATGCACAAAATGCAAAGTTAATTAAGACAGAGCACTAGATGGCGTACTGCAGCTATAGCCTTGACAGAAATCAAACGCCAGGACAAACCAAAAGTGGCCAAGTGCAAAAGTCAAGTGGCGCAGAACAAACTCAAATGCGCGTGCCGCCACTTAACTTTTGCACTGCTCCACTTGATTTTTACGGTTGAATTTGATCTTGTGCTTCATCTTTCATCTTTTTTTATTCAGGAGTAGCTGGTTTGCAACCTGATTTGCAGTTACTTTGGACTGCTGCAGGGGTATAACTGTGAGATCTCCGCGGAGGTTTCGAATATATATGTTGATTCATCAGGACTTGCCAGGTATTACGACGCTCCTGTAATAGGCTTTACAAAAATTATCTATTTGAGTCGTTGAGTCTTCTTTAAACATGGTAACATATTTTCCATATAATTTTGTGCTTTCGTAGCACTCTTCTACCTCTTGGGAAGTGTTCTCTAGCAGTCTTTTTTACCAGTTCTTCGAAAAGGTCGTAATTGCTTGGTGCCGTATGCTCGATGTTTTTATCCAACTCTTCTTCAGAGAAACCCTTCCAATCTGCTTTCCGGTAATTAAAGCGGCTCTTAAAGGGGACGATGTCCAAATCTGGGTTGTAGCCAGATCTCCAACGTGCCATGCAGAATGATGGTGGTAGCTTAGGGTCAAGAATAAGACTAAACTGCTTAGATTACATCCATTCTTCTAATGATTCTCCATCTCTGATATTATTTGTAGCCCCATTTGGTACTATGCTGTTAAAGTCGCCAATAATGACCTGTGGTTTACCAGGTACTTGTGGAACACAGTGCGGAAACATGAAATCAACCTTGGCGGTTTATACATAAATGTTATAACTACTCTGCTCAGCTCCTACTGTCAGAAATTTCAGGTTGTCAACTCTGGAGACGGACGATCTTTCAATAACGAAACTTTCTTTGGCAAATATTACACTACCATACTGTCGAGGAAGACACTCGACGACGAGTACCATACACCAGGAATGGATGGCCGGTTGTTGTCGCACCCTCCTCTGTGGGTCTCTTGCAAGCAGAGAACATCACATTAAAGATTACTGTTCAGTTAAGATTTGTTGCTTTAAGCAAAAATAAATATATATCCTCTTTGTTAGATAAAAATTACCATTTTTGATTAGCATAATTGAAATCAATAACATATTATATCAGGGTACCTTTAGGCTTTGATCAAAAAATCTAAAATAAAATGTAAAAAATGACATTGAAATTGCTAAAGTAAGTATACAATTACTGATTTATGGCTTTTTATATTATGTAGGCCATCTTGGACGCCATCTTGGATTTACCCATATTGATCAAATCACATCTTAAATTTTTTCAAATGATTTACTGACCCGAAAAAAATTCACAACTACAGTACAGTTTTGTAGCCGTTTTATGACATGGGTGCCTTTTTGGCAGCCATCTTGAAAAAAACTTTGGAGTGGTCATATTCATACACATTGGTGCATGTAAATGCCAACTGTCAGCAATAATATTTGTCTATTTGAAATGTTTGTGGCACTTTATACTTAAATTTGCATTTAGGTAAGAAAGGTCAATGACCTTTTGACCTCTACTGATATCCGGTATTATGGTATTTTCACATTTCGAAGTTTAAAAGATTAAGCAGCTAATGTGCTATATGTTGATACCAAATGCATGCAAATTTATTCACGAAAACACAAGTTATTATTAGCACAAATGTAACCCCCCGCCCCAAATTTCGGTTTACTATAAATTATTATGGTTAGCACATTAAGAAGTGATACAGTATATATAATTTATCCTTGTGTTTTTTTTTTATCTGGCCATCAAGTTTCTTATACCATATTACTGTGTGTACAATAATAAATAATGATAATATCTGTTTACAATTTCAATTTTTTTTTAAATTTAATTTTGTGATGATTTATGGTGAAATTTGCATTTTTGTTAAAATGTCGATGACCTTTTGACCTCTAATGACGTCAGTAATCGTCGAATTCCAAATTGTCAAAATTGAAGTAATTGAGCTATTAAATGATACTGGGTACCAAATGCATGCATTGTTTAGAGATACGAATGTTATGAACACAAAAGTTACCCCATCCCAAAATTTGCATTTTTAAATCAATAACAACCATCATAAAATGCATCCCAACGTTTTTCATGTTAGCATCGTTGTTTTTTTTTCATTCTATATGACCATGGGAACAAAATAAATATCCAGGTAGTTGAACTGTGGGAGGTGTGTACGGTGACCTCTGCTAGCCCATGGACTAAAGAAGCAGTGGAACGTACAATGATGGAAATCACAAGAAGAGACGGAATCAGAAATGAAGATGTCAGAAAGGCTACAGGAGTGAATGACATAATACAAGAAATAAAGAAGAGGAAATGGAGATGGGCAGGTCACATATTAAGAAGGACGGATAATACAAGAAATGTAATAGATTGCGGGTACCAAGAAATCGAGTCAGGGGGGAGATGCAGACAGAAAAGAAGGTGGATAGATGAAATACAAGA